AAAGAAGATGTATTTTAACTTATTTAGAATTTTTTTTGCAAATCATATGCAGAGGTTCTGAAGAGTACCCCCTTTCGATTATTTATCTTCCCCGAAAAATTCCTCCCTCCCTTTGCTTGCAAAGATAAACAGCTCCTGGAATACAGGCTTATGGATTAAGACTAACTAAACTTGAAAATGGAGATTTTTAGACTGCTCATTAATAGGAGACTCGTAGTTTCAGCCTTATGAAATGCAGTAGGAATAACATCTCAAAGATATGTTGCATCGTAAATGGCTTCTGGGCTTTGATGATTATGATGTCTCTCAGTGGCTTTTATCTCGATGGCTTCTGCAGAATGGAATGGCATTCTGAAAGCTTGCTCTTGAGGTACAGTGTTTTAGCCGTCCTTGACTCATTCCAGCAGCATATCCTATTCACCTTTTTCTCATTGGGAGGGATTTTGAAGTACAACACATTTCTTTCCAGGTAGGACTGAGGAAGCAATCCGGACATGACGTGCATTCCAAAATTATTGGCATATGTGCTCATCGCATCAACCAATTACGGTTACGGAGAAGTATGTGACATCCAATTTTTCATAGCACAGTCCGTTCTGCTATAGGAATAGTCATAGAAAAGTGAAATAAGGAGAGCAACGATCAAGGAAAGCATATGACATGAAAACGTAGCAATGGGGAGAACACGTCAAAAATATAAATTTGTTGTCTATGTTACCTTACATATATTTCCAGACTTTTATAAATCTCAAAAATTAGGTCAAGGAGATGGTAAAAAATTCTAAAATGCATGTACAGGAGAAATGAGACTGTTACAATCCTAAAGTCCGCAACTGTTGTCACATAATTCAGCATGATAAGAAATTCACTCTGGCATTTCAACAAAACGACGTCAGTCATAATGTTCTATACCGTGAATGGACTGTGCTTGCATTTCCCTTCTCCAGTAAAGCATCAAATGCATGAGAAGAACGGATTCAGAAAGAAATCCCTACGAGGCATAGACAAAATGTATTCCTAGTAGTCTAATTAAACGAAAAATGCAAATTGAAATTCCGATTTGCTTTATCCTCTTTTCAGCATATTCCCTCCTTCTTCTCTATTGGGTTGAGGTTCGCTGACTTTGTTGAGCATTATATAACCTCGATTCCGTGATCTTGGATTCATTGGCGAGCCAGCCGCGAGGATGATTTTTTTATCATTGTCCTGCTGAAGCATCACCTCTCCCACTTCGAGCCAATAGGGTTATTGAAAAGTCCCCTGAGTGGATGGCAAACGAGGCACTCATCTAGCCGCTTTCTTGCTATACCCAAGTTCTTCAGTAAAAATGCGCCAAATTGAGTTTGCTTTTATTCCAAGAGCCTGTTCAAGTTTTTCCAGTGTCATTCGACCGTATTCGTCAATCGCCACCTTCACAGCCGCCACATTTTGTTAATCAGTCGCCGTTCGGGGGCGTACCTCGCGCGGGTCGTCCTGGACGCTAAAGTGTTCAGTTTGAAATTGTCGAAACCACTTTTACTCTGTCTCCAAAGACGGAGCTTTGTCCCCAAGCACAGTTTTCAACTCATTGAAGCAAGGTTTAGCTTTTAAACCGCGCAAAAAGTTGTAGGGAATGAATAATCGAACGAGTTCATTAGTTAGAACCAGAAATTGAGGCTGATTATCATCACTACTTTTTCGTTTTCTCGTCTCCATGACTACCGGGGGGATAAAAGCTTGTCGATTTGTTACAGACAGATTAAGGAAACAGGGAAATAAATTACGTCCGACTTGGGCAATGGTCAGGGGACTTTTCAAAAACCCCTCGTACATAGTCGGGGGCAATTCGTCCTCGAGGTTGCTTGTATACAGTTTGGCATCCACTCTTCCTTCTATTTGATAGCTATATCCACCATATTTGTCGGTCCCCTTCACATGCTCCTGTCATACGGTCCTCCCAGGCTGTTTCCATTTCCAATCACGCCCATCCGACCTCATGAGCTTGATTTTGGTCTCATCTGACCAAATTACAGGTTTTCAGTCCTCTTTGGTCCAGTGTTGGTGGCGAAGGCGAATTCCAGCCGCTTTTGACGCCCTAAGAGAGAGGCATGTGAGGGGACTGACAAGTATGGTGGTGGCAGCCGGAAGTTGTGGGGCTGCATGACGACCAACGGAGTGGGACATAGCTGTCAAATAAAAGGAAGAATGGATGCCAAACTATACAATCATCCTGGAGGACGAATTGCACCCGACTATATGGGATTACCGGCTCGAACTGGGAGAGGCGATGCTTTCGCAGGACAATGATGAAAACCTCTCGCGGCTGGCTCGCCAATGAATCTAAGATCACGGAATCGAGGTTCTATAATGCTGAACACAGTCGCCGAACCTCAATCCAATATAACACTTGTGGCAGCACTTAAAGCGGAAGCTGGTGGGGTACGAGAAGGAGCCAGCCAGCATCCAGTAGTTATTGCAGCGGGTCAATACCAAGTTGGGCACCATTCAAGTTCGAACTTACTTTCTCTTGATCGAGAGCATGCCCATAAGTGTGCAGACGGTGTTGAAGGTCAAAGGAAAATGCACAAAATATTAATAACATGGCTTTTCTGTGTGCCTGAGTGTGAGGGACAAAACTGTGTCAATGACCAAGTTGGCTTTCAACAGCTGTAGCCCAGCCAATGGGAGACCAGTTCACACGGGCCTAGTACCAGTCGAAAGCCAGGAAGTCGGAGTATGATTGGCTGAATTTCAAATTAAATTGAGTAGATAATACTTGAGTTATCAGTCATCAAGTGGAACCGTGCCAAACATTGACAAAGTTTTATCCCTTGCTGTAGTTGGAAATGTGCCATTTCTGTGGAAAACGCCATTTCCTCCTGCTTTGCATATAATGTACTACAGCGCAACTATGGAAACTTTTTGATTCCCTGTCGTTAAGGGGTTATAATTTGTTATCACCCTTCAATAATTACATATCATTTAATACGTACGAGGTCTGATCAAAAAGTTCCAGTATTTTCGTTCCTAAAATTTAGTTTTAATTAGTACATTAATTGTTGTCCTCTTCAAAGTATTCCCCCCTCGATGCTATGCATTTATCCCTACGCTCCTGCAACTTCTGGAAGCATTGTTGGAAGTCCTGGAGTGTAAGACACTTACGGTGTCTCGTCGCATTTTCCTTGATGCTTGCAATGTCTTCAAATCTTTTTCCTTTCAGGTGAAATTTAATATTGGGGAACAGGAGAAAGTCACACGGAGCCATGTCCTGTGAATAAGGAGGGAGTGGCAAGGCAGGATTTTTTTTTAGCGAAAAACACTCGAATTGTGAGAGCAGTGTGGACTGGAGCATTGTCGTGATGCAAAAACAAGGCTTCATTTTGGAAAAGTTGGTCCCGTTTTCTAATAAATTTTTCTCACAGACGGGTCAAAACATATTTGTAGTAAGCCTGGTTAACTGTCTGGCCTCGTGGGACAAACTCATGATGCATCAGCATCATGATGCATGATCGAAAATTCGACGAAGAGCACAGAGACGACCGGATTTCAGCACTCGTGATTCGCGATTGGTTAATCCTAGCGCAAAGGAGGTTTCAACATGCTTGCGGTAACCCCCTCCCACTCCGACCTGCACTAGTCCTAGCCCCCTACATGAAGCGGTTTATTTTTCAACTAGAAAGTACCAGAACTTTTTGATCAGACCTCGTATCACACTGCTAGTATGACATTGACTTTTTTGCAACTATTAGCACTATGTTGTGAGTCTCCTTTCTGTCTCCTCGCTAATCTTTCTCCATATGCGTGTATCCTTTCATGAATGTTTCATTAATGATATTTGGATGGAAAATATTCATTTCTCCTTAAATATTCACGTATTATTCTTAAAATGACCATTGGGAACGCACGGGAATGAAATTTAGTTTTAATCCTTCTCTTGCATTTTCCGTAGTTATTTTGTGACTGCCAGGTGGATATAATCGTTGTATCCGACAAATAAATTGTGTAATATATTAATACATAGAAACATTGATAAGTATTTAATCTCCACAATTGAGTTCCCTTTTTACGCAGAAGGTATCCTTCCATTTCATTTCTGCGGTGAAAAAAAAAACTGATTGCTTCCACGAATACATTTTTTCAACTTCATACATTTAAAAAACCTTTTCTGCAATATTCACATTGATCTTAAGGAAACGCTTGTCTCAGACTGTCTGTAGAAATAGAGAAAATGCAGCAGCGAAATTTATATGTTCCTAGAAAAGGAAATGGATAGTCTACTGAGATGTAAAACAAGAAAGTCACAGTCCAAAGCTGCAGAATGCCACACCCAAAGTCGCTGACCTGCGGTGTTTGATGACCAATATATCTCTGTGTTAGGCTAAAATCGGGTTTTATGACGGATCCCAAAAACCAGATATTCCCAAGCCCAGAGACTTTCTTGAAATATATATTCCTTGAGAATTCCCTTACGAAACGATCCAATACAATCCTATTAGATTTTTGAAACATAACAATCGTACAGGATTTCTATGACAATGCAATACGATTCTTATTGTATTCCTATTGGATCATATAGGAATCCTGTAGAATCCTATAATATTTTTATAAGGTCGGCAGGACAAACTCAGGCCGTGTTGAAAGGGAGAGGGAAAACTCAAGCCCTTGTAATCGTCGGCGACTCGAACGTCAGGCGTCTTGAAGGTGCGATTTAAAAAGATTCAGGAGCTTAGATTTCTTCCAGTCAGTTTCCCGGTGCTAGGATCGAACACATTAGGGATAAGATCGGATCGGTGGTGTGCTCCGAGTCAGCCGAGGAAGTGTCGGTGGTCCTTCACATAGGGACTAACGATGCTCAAAAGTCTGGCTCTGAACTCATCATGGGTAGGCTGAGGCAGGCTGTTAGGGCGTGTCGGGAGGCTAGGTCGGGGGTACGGGTGACGGTATGCGCGATCCCGAGCAGGCTAGACGAGGAAGGAATCACGTAGTCCAGGTCTGAATGGGTAAACGACAGGTTGAAGGAGTTATGTATCGCGGAGGGGGCAGTGTTTCTGGACCACCAGGGAGGCTTTGAGTCGCTGTAGAAGTCCGATGGAGTACACATATCGAAAGAGGAGCTGTTGCAGTCGGATTGGCTATGATGAAGGAAACTGAGCCTTTTTTTGGGTTGTAGATGGGGGGGAGCAAGGGATCACGAGCAAGGGATATCCACTACGAGTAGCTTTAGTCCGCCGCGTTCTGGTTTGCAGGAAAGGCAGGGAGGAGACAAGTGTTTCTACGCGAATGCAAGCAGCTTATGTAATAAAATAGACAGTCTCAGGGGGAGGGCTCTGGACAACGATTTCGATGTCATCGAAATTACCAAGACTTGGGGTGGTTCTCACATTTCGGTTAAGGAATTCCATATCGAAGGTTACGACATCTTGTGGAAGGATAGGCTCGGCAGAAATTGGGGAAGAGTAGTGCTGTACGCTAAAACTGAACTGGGCGTTCGAGTCAGATATCTCACCTCGGCTAATTGTGGAGCAATCGAACACTTATGGTGCGAGATCGGTTGGGCAACTGAGAAGATCGTGTTAGGAATCGGGCAGCTAATGAACGAAAAGAGGGAGTCGATTGCAAGTTAGAAGAATATGGCCAGTATACTTAACGAGTTCTTTGCTTCCGTTTTCACTGTGGAATCCGACACGGCACCGACTTTGGAGGAGGTGACTTCGGCGCGCATCGAGGATATTTCCATCACCGAGGAAACGATCGTGAATACGATAGGGAAGTTGACGGAGGGCAAGGCGACCGGCACCGATGGGAATCCTGCTCGAGTCATTAAGGAAGCGGCGAGAGTAATATCGGTTCCGCTAGGAATTATATTCGAAAGCAGCTTTTCGCGCTGGAAGTACCTAAGGACTGGAGACGAGCAAACGTCGTACCCATCTTTAAGAAGGGCGAAAAGAGTAATCCAGGAAATTACAGGCCGGTAAGTCTCACGAGTACCCCAGGGGAGATCATGGAGAGTATACTAAGGGACCACCTCTTGGATTTCCTCGAAGGAAACGCGCTCATTCGGGACTCTCAACACCGCTTTAGGAGCCGTCAGAATTGTCTTACCAATTTGCTCGAATTCTACGACTGGGCGACCGAAGAGAGGGATGAGGGGAATCCCGTGGACATCGTTTATTTAGATTTCGCGAAAGCTTTCGATACCGTTAGACACACAAGAGGTTGCGGGTTAAGCTGGAGGCGCACGGGATCCAGGATAGGACGAGTGAGTGGATCGGTTGCTGGTTTGCAGGACGAGAGCACCGATTGATGATGAATGGGGAAGCATCGAAGGAGGTCGGAGTCGCAAGCGGTGTTCCTCATGGTGAGGTCCTCCAACCGCTTCTGTTTTTGGTCTACAATTAAACGATTTGGATCTCGGCGTAGAGGGTAAGATGAGTAAATTTGCCGACGACACCAAGATAAGTTTTACCATAAGGGGGGAGGCGGATGGTGCTAGAGCTGGACAAGGTTTAAGTCTTTTGGACGAGTGGAGGAAGAAATGGCTCATGAGGTTTAATAAAAGTAAGTGTAAAGTTCTCCACGTCGGTCGAAACAACGGTAGGTCTCTCGACACGTTCGGCGATGTTAAATTGGATGAGGCAAACGGAGAGAGAGATTTAGGTGTTTCTATCGATGAGGACCTCAAGTTTTCCTCGCACGCGCAAGCGACGGTGGCCAAATGCAATAGGATTCTAGGTTACATTCGTCGGTCGGTTGCAAGTAGGACATCTCGCGTTATTCTTCCGTTGTATGCGGCGCTGATAAGACCCCAGCTGGAATATTGCATCCAGTTTTGGAGGCCTACAAATAAGGGCGATCTGTTGGCGCTCGAGGGAGTACAGAGGAGGGCCACAAGAATGATTAAGGAGGTTAGGGGACTATCATACGAGAAGCGTTTAGAAGTGTTTGGACAGTTCTCGCTCGAACGAAGGTTAAGGAGGGGCGATCTCATCCAGGCTTTCAAGATAATTAAAGGAATAGATAATGTCGAGTGTGGTAGGTTTTCCCAGTTTGATGACAGCAAGAGAACGAGAGGTAACCGACTTAAGTTGCGCAAACCGCAGGTGCGGCTCAGGTCGAGACAGGAATTCTTTAGTTGCAGAGTAGTGAACGCGTGGAATGCGTTAGATGACGAAGCAATGGCTGCCCTTTCTGTGACTATCTTTAAGAAGAAACTAGATGCTTTCTTGGACAGGCATAAAGGAAGGGGAAATATTAACGTTAGGTACTAGATAGTAAGCAACTAGGACACACAAAAAATATAAAAGTAAGCAAAAATATAAGAATATTTACCTTTAAGAGGATTAGGCATACCCTAAAATATTAGGAACGCTCTACCTCGAAACGTGATATCAAAATGGGTGAATTCGCCTCTTGATATCACTAACGAACTTGAATCTTGAATCTAATGTTACAAATTTCTCACAGAAACGAAAATGATTTTTCCATAAGGTCTTATTTATATTGCGATACATTATGCGTCTCCCGCATCCCTACAATAGAAATGGTGCGTGGGCCCTTCTATCTACAAAGAATCTACATTCATTACACATTTAAGAGCCCATGTCCATACCATGAATGTCAGGTGAAAATTCCTCAATTGCCATTAATTATCAATGTTCTTGACTTCTTCATAGTATACAGTAGATCCAGGGTTCCATGACTTTTAATGGTAGATTAAAAGTTTACTTCATTGAAAGTTATTAATAATGTTTAATTAACTGAACTTCTTTATTTTTCTCCTCAAAAATTTTCCTACACCTCCCTAAAAATTGACTACATTTCCCGTATTTTCTCTGCGATGCACATGATTCCTGCAAACGATGCAGTCCTCATTTCTCACTTTTTACATTGGAGAGTATATCTTAGATGCTCACTCACTTTTCACGGTACACTCGCTACAAATCCCACTGTACAAGGCAAGATGGATGTGAAGCGGATCGTTTCTTCGAAAAACAGTCAAGTACACTAAGCAACCCCAGCGATTCGCTTTGTGGATTTGATATTTCTGTAGTTATACAGCCCTGGACTGTGCAGGGTATTTGATTGAAGCGAGAACTGTCATTGCGTTTTCAGTATGTATGCGGCTTCATTCCCCACAGCAAAATACATTAAGCGTGTTTCATGCTTCTTTCCAGAAACTCTCAATCAGCTCTATTCGCGGAATGAAATGGAGCGACCCAAACTTGAAGAATCTGGTGTTATTGCTGATAGAAAAAACTCAAGAGCATGAGAAGAATATTGCACAATTAAACGTTGACATTGAACACCTCTGGGAAGAAAAAAAAATCATCAAACACGACTGTGAGATGTTGACGAGTGTCAATGAGAAGCTCAGCAATGACTACAAGAATATGATGAAAGTCAACGCGAAACTCAACATTGAATATGAGATCCTAACACAGGACAACGAAAAGCTTACATTTGGCCAGGAGAACCTGAATAAGAAAACTGACGAGTTGAGAGATGGCTACGAAGTCCTGAAGCAGGAGGATGTGACGATCCGGGACAAAATTGAGATCCTGAGACAGGATAACGAAAAGCTCAGAGTTGGTCAAGAGAACCAGAAGAAGAAAACTGACGAGTTGAGAGATGGCTACGAAGTCCTGAAGCAGGAGAATGTGACGATCCGGGACAAAATTGAGATCCTGAGACAGGATAACGAAAATCTCAGAGTTGGCCAAGAGAACCTGAATAAGAAAACTGACGAGTTGAGAGATGGCTACGAAGTCCTGAAGCAGGAGGATGTGACGATCCGTGAGAAAATTGAGATCATGAGACAGGATAACGAAAACCTTACTGTTGGTCAAGAGAACCAGAATAAGAAAACTGAGGAGTTGAGAGATGGCTACGAAGTCCTGAAGCAGGAGAATGTGACAATCCGGGACAAAATTGAGATCCTGAGACAGGATAACGAAAAGCTCAGAGTTGGCCAAGAGAACCAGAATAAGAAAACTGACGAGTTGATAGATGGCTACGAAGTCCTGAAGCAGGAGGATGTGACGATCCGGGACAAAATTGAGATCATGAGACAAGATAACGAAAATCTCAGAGTTGGCCAAGAAAACCTGAATAAGAAAACTGACGAGTTGAGAGATGGCTACGAAGTCCTGAAGCAGGAGAATGTGACGATCCGGGAGAAAATTGAGATCATGAGACAGGATAACGAAAACCTTACTGTTGGTCAAGAGAACCTGAATAAGAAAACTGACGAGTTGAGAGATGGCTACGAAGTCCTCAAGCAGGACAAAGCAAAACACATACTTGATTTCGAAAGCCTGAAACAGGATCACGAAAAGTGGATCAAGGGGAAGTCTTCATCCCGTTACCATCAACCAGAATCATGTTTGTCCCTCCGCCAAGCAGGTCACTCTTTTTCCGGCTATTACCTGATCGGTACCAAAGAGGGCATGTTGCATGTGGTTCATTGTAGGATGGATTTGAAACATACCGACCCGAAGTTTCAAGTGGAGACGAATGCTCGTATTGCACGGCAAGGAATCTATTTCGATGCTTTTGGAGCTTTCGGAAATAAAAACAGCGTAATTCGATTCAACGGGACTGAAGTCAACATCGGCGGAGCAATGGATCCTAGAAAAGGAGTATTCACGGCGCCCCTGGAAGGCATTTATGCCTTCCATTTTCATACCTGGATGTACAGCACTCAACTGGTAATAGGAATCAGAAAGAATTTAATCACAAAAGGACGTATGTGGTCTGATGACCTTTCCGATAGAACATATCATGATCACGATCAAATGCCAGGCCAGTCCATTCTACTTCAACTCCGTGAGGGGGAAACCGTCGATGTTTTCCTTGAGGAAGGAACTTTAAGGAACACTGACGAATACTCTCATTTCGTAGGGTATTTTTTATATCCTATGTGATGCAAGAAATAAAAAAATATATGCATCTGCTACGTTAGGTGACCACGCATTCACACATGGATAATGCAACTCCATAATTTCAGCAAGAAATTTTGAATGTGGGTATCACGGAAAGGTATGCTGCCCGTGAATGCCTTTACAACTAGCTATGGAAAGACTGCATGCCCTTTTTTCCAATTTAGGCTCCCCACAGTCTTGAGTAGTTGAAATGCAATTTAAGACACGATGGTTGGGAACGTCTCTCATAGGGTTCCTGATACTCTGTTCCAAATCTTGGAGATTTTTTATTTTGAACGATCACTCTACGATACATGTCATTTATCAGACCAAAGTTCAGTGGTGTATGGTTTATAGACTCCATGCATTTTGAACATTTGAAACTTTTTATTTCATGGGAAGAAAGCGGCGAAAGGAAGCGAGTCACGACTTTTAAAATATGTCAACCTTCAAAATAAATTTATCAATGCGAAATGCGCTCAAATTACAATATTGATGCTTCTATTTAAAAAAAATACAATGCAGTTGAAAATATGTTGTCCAAAAACTGACTGAATGAATAGTATGAAGGAACCGACGAAAGGAATGGCACGTTTTGCCTCATTATGAAAGACCGATGCAAATATTTCAAGGGGAAACAACGGAAGGCCACCACCTGGGAAGAAACACAAATTTATATAAAATCGCAATAGATCAATTTAAATTTTTATGGTATTTCGATTCTTTTTTCAAGTGTTTTTTAAATCATAGAGAAAAGTTTGAGTTCATGGAAACCATAACCAATTCCCTAAATAATGCAGAATGATTCGACGTATAATGGGAAGACCAGGAAAACCCTTCTTAAACGGTTCTATCACATAGTTTCGAAAGCAAAAAGCACGGCAAATTTTATGTCAACCAGTAGAAACATCGAACGCTACCCAATGCCGAATTGACAATTTTCGGATGGGCATAATGTTGATTTTTACCGAATACGTGAAACGTGGGAAAACGTCAAATATGTTATATTCGTATGTCGAATTCCAGTTATTCTTTTTTGTCCTTTAGGTCCTCATATAATCAAGGAGGGGAGATTTCTTCTTTCTTATATGCTATCTTCAGACAGGAAATACTGCCTTGTGAACCAAACAAGCACACTTTCACACACATGTGTCAGTCAAATTGCGACCGTAAGCATGAAATACGTCCATTCCCAGAAAGGAAGAAGCACGTTAGCTGTTCACGGGTACTTACTCAGGCGTGAAAAGTGCAAGAGTGAGGAAGTGTATTGGAGCTGCCAAAACCGAAATTGACATGCACACGTCCTCGTGACCATGAAAGACGAAATGATAAATGATTTTCCGGAAGTGCATTATTCTCTTGCGCCTAATGGATCGGAAATTGAGAATTGATAATTACTTACAGAGATGAAGAGATGTGCCGATGTTTCATCTGATGCGACCTCCGCCATCAACATCTCAGAGGTGGGACAAGCTTCTTCATGAGCGGGAAAAGCAGAGTGAAGGGAATCAAGATGAGAATATATTCGCAACCACGAGAGCTGAATCGAATAGAGCTTATCATCTGTTCTCTCGCTTCATGGACGTCATTCGGTAAAACTTGGGTGGGAGGGGGGGAAAAAGCAATGTAATTTGAAAATCACATTTTAGCGTGAAATATTGTCTGCTTCAATTTCGGGAATGTTACGAGGCAATGTCAACCACAAAATGGAATCGCTTGTGAATTTCTTTTCGTTTGGGCTAATGGCAAAATCGCTAGGGGTGGTCCAGTTGGTGAAATCATACTTAGTGAAATAGTTTTTTATTCAGGATTTCGCAAAATTAAATCCACGGCAGAAATCCACCCTGCTTTATCATGCCAAGTTGGCTGCAATAATTTATTTTAACCCTTTACTGTGTGATACATGACAGCCTTCGAGAAATAGTTCAAATTTCGCATACAAATACTTAAAGGTACAAAAGATAGATATTTTGCATCAAACTATCCGAAGTCGGTAATTTTAGGGCAATAATGGGTTTTCGTCAAAAGGAATAAATTTGCCAAAAAACTGCGAAACTTAATATGTAAAGCCTTACTCAAAGAACTGAGATGGATATGTGAGAACTAATGCAATACGAAGTTTTTTTTTTCAAACATAAAACACAATAACTTAAAAATTAAGAAAGTTTTGATGAAATGAGGTTAAACGTCTAAACTCGACTATGGTACTGACTTGGTGTTTTCAATATGCTGCCAATCGATAAAAAAAAAATACACACGTAAAAGATATTTCTGTTTTTCCCAAACGGGAACATCAAGGATGTTTTATAAATTCCCCATGTTCCACATGGCGAGTATTAACCCTTTGCGGTCATGTGTCCGGCATGACCCGACATTAAAAAAGATTAATTTCGGTCATATGTCGGGTGTCACCCGACATCACAAATATATATTTTCCCCGGCCTTCCTTTGCTCGGACTCACCCGAAATTACTTCTTCCTGCCATTTATTACGATATTTTACTTCACACGACATCTACAGATTGTATTTATCCATTTACCGGCCGGCATTTGAAATGATTTGTTGAAATGTGTTTTTATCTTTTTTCATTGAAATTAAATATGACCTACGGGGACAACTAGTGGAAAATAAAAATGACCGCACATGGTGGGGCAATTTTATATAATAATTATTCTGGTACATCCCATATCTGGCATACAGGCAGTAAAGGGCTAATTAGACGAAACTACATCCATGGGTGCACTCGGCAGTAGAAAACCTCTCTAAGGTTAAGTTCAAGAGGCGTGAAGGAGATTCACAGGAGTCCTCTGGTTCGGGCAAACCGTTCCAACTCCTATGAAAATATGGGATTTAGGATAGCGACGACCTTCCGATTTTCGTGAATTCGCTGATCGATTAACTCCGTTATCGCTTCAATGGCAGACTACTGCAAATATGTTTTGCTCTCTTCACGGCGGAGAAGAGAGTCTCGGCTCGAGCAGTTGCCAAAGTCAGAGTAAAAACGGGGTGCATTAGCTTCAAGGTTCGAAAGCGCAACTCTTTAGTTCATGAATGCTCTGATATTTATTCAATAACAGCAAAAAACCAGGAATCATGAGAATCATGCCTCATAAGAACTCCAAAGGCTCTTCACATTCAGGCTAATACATTAGAGGGATTAAAGGAGGCTATTAAGAAATCTCTCCAAGACAAAAGGGAGGCAGGTGATCCCCTTGCCCCCCCCCCCCAATGAAGTATCTCTCTCTAATGTCCTAAATGTCGTCATCACTTACATCACGAAAAATTTGTTGAAGAGGTCTTCCTGTCCAGTTCTTGTTACCAGCACCTGGAAAAGATTATTCAGTCTTTGCAACGAGGCTATTCTCTCAAAAGAAATCATCGTCATTTTCTCCTTCAATTATTTTTCAGATGCCAAATATTCCATGAAATAGATTCTGCGATGAGCACAGTAGAACATCAATCAATTACAAAGTCGATAGAAATAACTGGGATTTTCATTAATCATTAGATGAGGAAACTTGTTCGAGGACAATGATGTTGTCAATACTGCACAGTCTCTCACTTAAGTTGTATTGTGCTGGGCTTCGTGGAGCTGTTGCTGCTGTTCCCTCCTAATCATTCTGTTCTCATTCCTCTCAATTTTCTTCTCATGGTTCCTGGAATCTTTCAATCAACATTTAATTTCATCTCTTGGCCTTCCACTGATTTCACTTGTAATCCCACCTGGGTATAATCCGCACATGAGAACCACTTGTTGGATTATCACATATAAGTCCAACATATATACATTACGTATTAACAGTACCTTAAATCGGACAATGAGACAATAATTATAGTGCAGGTCAAGTCTTCATCAAAGTCAAACCAAAATGTTGATGCTTTAGATGGCTTTCATTACTTCCATCACATTCTCCTCAATACTCAAAATTTGGAGCATTAGTATTTTTTGCCCGTGATAACAGGGAATTTTAAACTTTTGCAAGTTAAATGGCCTGCTTCAATCGTCATAAATATTTAAAGTGGCTGCGCCTCATCTAAACCCATGTCGACTTCCGTCTTCCACTTCGTGTGGAAGAGGGGGCCCCTTCATAATCTCAGGGAAATGCACTTATTGTTGAGGGTCTCACTCTTGAACACGGGAGAGTGCATGATATATAGGCCCCATCACCTTCCCTCCGTCCGAGTAGCTCGTATGCTTTTCATGGATTCTAATGTGAGCGCTTCCTCCAATTTTTCGAGTCCAATTTTGTAAGGTGTTGGTATTTGCTTGTTTTTGTAACTGTGGTGCACAGCGTACTGTCGCTAGACAGTTTTCCTTAAACATATATTGTAACAGATGAGGATGGCATTCAGAGGGTCAACTGGATGTCCCAGGTTCGGTGGTGTAGTGGTAGCATATCTGACCGACAATCAGGAGGTCCGGGTTCAATACCCGGCTATTACTTGGCCGCCTGTTATTTT